TGGCTGTATTTCCTTGAAAAAATATTCTTTAAAAATCCACGTTCATTTGGCTGTATTTCCTTGAAAAAATATTCTTTAAAAATCCATGTTTATTTGGCTGTATTTCCTTGAAAAAATATTCTTTAAAAATCCACGTTTATTTGGCTGTATTTCCTTGAAAAAATATTCTTTAAAAATCCACGTTTATTTGGCTGTATTTCCTTGAAAAAATATTCTTTAAAAATCCACGTTTATTTGGCTGTATTTCCTTGAAAAAATATTCTTTAAAAATCCACGTTTATTTGGCTGTATTTCCTTGAAAAAATATTCTTTAAAAATCCACGTTTATTTGGCTGTATTTCCTTGAAAAAATATTCTTTAAAAATCCACGTTTATTTGGCTGTATTTCCTTGAAAAAATATTCTTTAAAAATCCACGTTTATTTGGCTGTATTTCCTTGAAAAAATATTCTTTAAAAATCCACGTTTATTTGGCTGTATTTCCTTGAAAAAATATTCTTTAAAAATCCACGTTTATTTGGCTGTATTTCCTTGAAAAAATATTCTTTAAAAATCCACGTTTATTTGGCTGTTGGTCCTTGAAAAAATATTCTTTAAAAATCCACGTTTATTTGGCTGTATTTCCTTGAAAAAATATTCTTTAAAAATCCACGTTTATTTGGCTGTATTTCCTTGAAAAAATATTCTTTAAAAATCCATGTTTATTTGGCTGTATTTCCTTGAAAAAATATTCTTTAAAAATCCACGTTTATTTGGCTGTATTTCCTTGAAAAAATATTCTTTAAAAATCCACGTTTATTTGGCTGTATTTCCTTGAAAAAATATTCTTTAAAAATCCACGTTTATTTGGCTGTATTTCCTTGAAAAAATATTCTTTAAAAATCCACGTTTATTTGGCTGTATTTCCTTGAAAAAATATTCTTTAAAAATCCACGTTTATTTGGCTGTATTTCCTTGAAAAAATATTCTTTAAAAATCCACGTTTATTTGGCTGTATTTCCTTGAAAAAATATTCTTTAAAAATCCACGTTTATTTGGCTGTATTTCCTTGAAAAAATATTCTTTAAAAATCCACGTTTATTTGGCTGTATTTCCTTGAAAAAATATTCTTTAAAAATCCACGTTTATTTGGCTGTATTCCTTGAAAAAATATTCTTTAAAAATCCACGTTTATTTGGCTGTATTTCCTTGAAAAAATATTCTTTAAAAATCCACGTTTATTTGGCTGTATTTCCTTGAAAAAATATTCTTTAAAAATCCACGTTTATTTGGCTGTATTTCCTTGAAAAAATATTCTTTAAAAATCCACGTTTAAAGGTCTGTAGGTCCTTGAAAAAATATTCTTTAAAAATCCACGTTTATTTGGCTGTATTTCCTTGAAAAAATATTCTTTAAAAATCCACGTTTAAAGGTCTGTAGGTCCTTCAAAAAATATTCTTTAAAAATCCACGTTTATTTGGCTGTATTTCCTTGAAAAAATATTCTTTAAAAATCCACGTTTAAAGGTCTGTAGGTCCTTCAAAAAATATTCTTTAAAAATCCACGTTTATTTGGCTGTATTTCCTTGAAAAAATATTCTTTAAAAATCCACGTTTAAAGGTCTGTAGGTCCTTGAAAAAATATTCTTTAAAAATCCACGTTTATTTGGCTGTATTTCCTTGAAAAAATATTCTTTAAAAATCCACGTTTATTTGGCTGTATTTCCTTGAAAAAATATTCTTTAAAAATCCACGTTTATTTGGCTGTATTTCCTTGAAAAAATATTCTTTAAAAATCCACGTTTATTTGGCTGTATTTCCTTGAAAAAATATTCTTTAAAAATCCACGTTTATTTGGCTGTATTTCCTTGAAAAAATATTCTTTAAAAATCCACGTTTATTTGGCTGTATTTCCTTGAAAAAATATTCTTTAAAAATCCACGTTTATTTGGCTGTATTTCCTTGAAAAAATATTCTTTAAAAATCCACGTTTATTTGGCTGTATTTCCTTGAAAAAATATTCTTTAAAAATCCACGTTTATTTGGCTGTATTTCCTTGAAAAAATATTCTTTAAAAATCCACGTTTATTTGGCTGTATTTCCTTGAAAAAATATTCTTTAAAAATCCATGTTTATTTGGCTGTATTTCCTTGAAAAAATATTCTTTAAAAATCCACGTTTATTTGGCTGTATTTCCTTGAAAAAATATTCTTTAAAAATCCACGTTTATTTGGCTGTATTTCCTTGAAAAAATATTCTTTAAAAATCCACGTTTATTTGGCTGTATTTCCTTGAAAAAATATTCTTTAAAAATCCACGTTTATTTGGCTGTTGGTCCTTGAAAAAATATTCTTTAAAAATCCACGTTTATTTGGCTGTATTTCCTTGAAAAAATATTCTTTAAAAATCCACGTTTATTTGGCTGTATTTCCTTGAAAAAATATTCTTTAAAAATCCACGTTTATTTGGCTGTATTTCCTTGAAAAAATATTCTTTAAAAATCCACGTTTATTTGGCTGTATTTCCTTGAAAAAATATTCTTTAAAAATCCACGTTTATTTGGCTGTATTTCCTTGAAAAAATATTCTTTAAAAATCCACGTTTATTTGGCTGTATTTCCTTGAAAAAATATTCTTTAAAAATCCACGTTTATTTGGCTGTTGGTCCTTGAAAAAATATTCTTTAAAAATCCACGTTTATTTGGCTGTATTTCCTTGAAAAATATTCTTTAAAAATCCACGTTTATTTGGCTGTATTTCCTTGAAAAAATATTCTTTAAAAATCCATGTTTATTTGGCTGTATTTCCTTGAAAAAATATTCTTTAAAAATCCACGTTTATTTGGCTGTTGGTCCTTGAAAAAATATTCTTTAAAAATCCACGTTTATTTGGCTGTATTTCCTTGAAAAAATATTCTTTAAAAATCCACGTTTATTTGGCTGTATTTCCTTGAAAAAATATTCTTTAAAAATCCATGTTTATTTGGCTGTATTTCCTTGAAAAAATATTCTTTAAAAATCCACGTTTATTTGGCTGTATTTCCTTGAAAAAATATTCTTTAAAAATCCACGTTTATTTGGCTGTATTTCCTTGAAAAAATATTCTTTAAAAATCCACGTTTATTTGGCTGTATTTCCTTGAAAAAATATTCTTTAAAAATCCACGTTTATTTGGCTGTATTTCCTTGAAAAAATATTCTTTAAAAATCCACGTTTATTTGGCTGTATTCCTTGAAAAAATATTCTTTAAAAATCCACGTTTATTTGGCTGTATTTCCTTGAAAAAATATTCTTTAAAAATCCACGTTTATTTGGCTGTATTTCCTTGAAAAAATATTCTTTAAAAATCCACGTTTATTTGGCTGTATTTCCTTGAAAAAATATTCTTTAAAAATCCACGTTTAAAGGTCTGTAGGTCCTTGAAAAAATATTCTTTAAAAATCCACGTTTATTTGGCTGTATTTCCTTGAAAAAATATTCTTTAAAAATCCACGTTTAAAGGTCTGTAGGTCCTTCAAAAAATATTCTTTAAAAATCCACGTTTATTTGGCTGTATTTCCTTGAAAAAATATTCTTTAAAAATCCACGTTTAAAGGTCTGTAGGTCCTTGAAAAAATATTCTTTAAAAATCCACGTTTATTTGGCTGTATTTCCTTGAAAAAATATTCTTTAAAAATCCACGTTTAAAGGTCTGTAGGTCCTTGAAAAAATATTCTTTAAAAATCCACGTTTATTTGGCTGTATTTCCTTGAAAAAATATTCTTTAAAAATCCACGTTTAAAGGTCTGTAGGTCCTTGAAAAAATATTCTTTAAAAATCCACGTTTATTTGGCTGTATTTCCTTGAAAAAATATTCTTTAAAAATCCACGTTTAAAGGTCTGTAGGTCCTTGAAAAAATATTCTTTAAAAATCCACGTTTATTTGGCTGTATTTCCTTGAAAAAATATTCTTTAAAAATCCACGTTTAAAGGTCTGTAGGTCCTTGAAAAAATATTCTTTAAAAATCCACGTTTATTTGGCTGTATTTCCTTGAAAAAATATTCTTTAAAAATCCACGTTTAAAGGTCTGTAGGTCCTTGAAAAAATATTCTTTAAAAATCCACGTTTATTTGGCTGTATTTCCTTGAAAAAATATTCTTTAAAAATCCACGTTTAAAGGTCTGTAGGTCCTTGAAAAAATATTCTTTAAAAATCCACGTTTATTTGGCTGTATTTCCTTGAAAAAATATTCTTTAAAAATCCAAGTTTAAAGGTCTGTAGGTCCTTGAAAAAATATTCTTCAAAAATCCACGTTTAAAGGTCTGTAGGTCCTTGAAAAAATATTCTTTAAAAATCCACGTTTATGTGGCTGTATTTCCTTGAAAAAATATTATTTAAAAATCCACGTTTAAAGGTCTGTAGGACCTTAAAAAAATATTATTTAAAAATCCACGTTTAAAGGTCTGTAGGACCTTAAAAAAAATATTCTTTAAAAATCTACGTTCAAAGGTATGTAGGTCCTTGAAAAAATATTCTTTAAAAATCCACGTTTATTTGGCTGTATTTTCTTGAAAAAATATTCTTTAAAAATCCACGTTTATTTGGCTGTATTTTCTTGAAAAATATTCTTTAAAAATCCACGTTTATTTGGCTGTATTTCGTTGAAAAAATATTCTTTAAAAATCTACGTTTAAAGGTCTGTTGGTCCTTGAAAAAATATTATTTAAAAATCCACGTTTAAAGGTCTGTAGGACCTTGAATAAATATTCTTTAAAAATCTACGTTCAAAGGTATGTAAGTCCTTAAAAAATTATTCTTTAAAAATCCTTGAAAAATTGTGTTTTTAAAATCCACGTTTAAAGGTCTGTAGGTGCTTAAAATATATGGTTTTAAAAATCCACATTTAAAAGTCTGTAGGTCGTTGAAAAAATATTCATGTTCCAATAAAACAACAAACTTGATAGCTCATCCTTGTTTTTCTTTCACCAACCATTTTTTAATTTCGATTTTTTTATTTACAACATTTTCTTAAAGAACTAGGTTTTTTTAATCTACACAAGCATAACGTGGCACCATATAGGCCATATAAGGTTTCACCGATGACGTTACACCATCCAAAGGCTCATCGTCTGGCAGCGGCCCCGGCAAAGCTTCAAAACGGAAATTTTGCAATACCGTGGTAATGAACATAAACAATGTCTGGCGGCCCAAAATATCGCCCATACAACGGTGGCGGCCATAACCAAATGGATTATAGGCCTCGGGAACCTTGAGACAACCATCAACTATAAACCTTTCTGGATTGAATTTTTGAGGACTTGGAAAGTGCACGGGATTCATTAACATGCCACGAAAACAGGCTATTACCATGGTATCTTTGGGTATTTCATAGCCTGAGAGGCGGGTATCTTTCAGAGCACGATGTGGTATACCAAATGTATTGCCCATAAACATGCGCACAGACTCCAAAACTATGGCTTCGCAATAGGGTAATTTTATGCGATCTTTCCATTCGGGTCGCCGCTCAAGGCCCACCACTTCTTTGATTTCATTGAAGGCCCGTTCCTGGATTTCGGGGCTGCGGACCATGTGAAGAAAACCAAAACCCAGACTTTTGTTGGTCGTCTCCGAACCGGCTAAAAACATGTCCAAACAAACCGCCAATAACTGTTCCTCGGTGAAAGAGGGTCTTCGTTCGGGATTTTCCAATTCCCTCAAATAGCTGTCCATCAGATCTCGTGGAATACTGTAGTTTCTAAATGATTCCTTGTGGATCTGTACCTCTTTGCGTAGAAAACTGTAGATTCGCTCATGATTCTCCACAAAAGCATTGTAGCCAGAATAATTGGGCGCTACGTAGCGCATAAATGGAAAATGGCTAAACATTGCCCCCACCATATCCACATGCTGGAAGAGTTCGAAGAACATTTGCAACAGATCATTAATTTCTTCACTATTCCGATCGTAACGTTTTCCCGACATCATGGACCATAAATTGTTGAGGACATAGACAGTGAACAGGTTTACCATGGCCACCTGGGCCCGCTTGCCGCCCTGCTGTCGCACAATTTCCTTTAAATCTTCCAAAAGATATTCAGCTTCCTGCTGAATGCCATGAATCATGCCACTGCGGGCAAAACCGAAATCCTTCAAATGTCTCAATATGAATCTGCGTTGTTCCACCCACAACTCGCCATCCGTCACCAGTATCCCCTTTTTGGAATTAAAGGTGCGCATGCGATAAAATATGCCATCCGGTTTGCCATCCAAATCCTCATTGGTCATCATCTCTTGTATCGTATCATTGTAGTAGGCAATCACCACTTTATCCTTGCCAATTTTCAGGCCATACAGGCCGTAGGGATTCACATACACTTTGGCTAATTCATCAATCACTTTACAGAACATGCCATGCTTGGCACGTAATTTGGAAATTTTCAAGGCACAACCCACAATGGGATACCACTTGGGTCCGGGTGGGAAGCGACGAGGTTTACGTATATCCCAGATGAGGAACAGGAGGACGAGGACCGTGAAAAACGTAACCGCATAAAACATGTTAATGAAATCGAAACGAATTTATCAAGGGGGCTTTGTTAATCCGTTAGGGTTATGCAGATTTATGGTCCAAAGGAATGATTTATTACTTCCGCCTTAAAATTTTGTCAAATTCATTTTGTTCGCTTGGTTTGTGATTTTCCGATTTGACACACTTCACTTTTTACGTTTTTACATGTAGTTTTCCTGTCGCCGCCAAAGTTCCGCACTTTCGTTTTTATTTTCTTTTCTGTTTTCCCGCTCCGACAAGTTATGGCTTTAAGGTGTTCACTGAACTGAAGCGTTTTCTTTGGTTGCATCATATTTTATACCAGTGGTCAACTGAACCAGTCTGCCGTTTGGAAAATAGTAAAACGCTTTGGCTTTACTAGTTGGCTTCCAGTGTTTCTTAAAGCCGATGCGCGGCGGCGCCGGCGGTGTGTTGTGTCCCTGATTCACTTTCCTCTGCAACTTGTCCATTATGTAAGATGAAAAACAACAGCATTTGTGAGGTTTGTCGAATGGCTGTTGGCCATTTTATTTTTGCATCAAATCTCTTGCAATTTGATATCATTAGCAATCAAGCTGAAATTGCTCAATCAGATTTGAAATTATATTAAAGAAGAGATATTTTATTTTTTAGATAAAGCTATGTCAGGCCGCCAAAAATATCCTTAAAATTCACAACTTTTGAATGGGTCAACTAAGAAATATTCCTAATACAAATGCTATTTGCTAGAGAACTCTGACAAATATATTTGAAATATCCACGATTTCTAGGAGGCTCCTTGATTACAAACCTGAAATATAGATGGTTTAGGATAGGCCTCTAAATAACATTCTTGAAATATTCACTATTTTCGAATATGCGTGTAAAAATATTCATAAAAAATTCATGAATTGGTCTCCAAATAATATTCTTAATAATCCTCGAGCCCCCGATGAGTACGGAACATATATTCTTCAAAATCCAAGAGGCTTTTACAAATCCAGGAAACATATTTTAAAAACTCCACAAACAAGTTATGGGTCCAGAAAATAAATTTTTAAAAGTGTACGAGTCGATATACAAAGTGAGATAAAAAATAATGTCAAACGCCATAATTTTTACTTTTTTTTTTAAATTTTATTGAATAAAAGCAAAAAAATGTCGGAAATAGCATCAAATTTTAGAATAAACTTAGATTTGTTCGATTTGGTTACCTTTGGCCTTCAAACGCCCAATGAAACTGCCCAAATGTTGCTCTGCGGTATTTTGGCCCATTCCCGGCGAAGCGCTTGCTTGAGATGATCTACACTTTGGTATTTTTTAGTGCCAACCTTGCTTTCCAAAATACTCAAGACAGATGCCAGACAGTCCAACGGATTGGTATCCGGAGATTTTGGTAGCCATTGTGTGCTGGAAATGAAACGAGGAAACTCATTTTTTAACCATTCTTGGGTGGCGCGTGCTGAGTTGGAATATCCAAGGTCTGCAGCCAAAATGTTTGCGTGCCCAAGGCTTTAATACAACCTTCAGACTATTTTTGCGATAATATTAGGCATTTATTCTGATGTCACGGTCGATTAATACGCACGAGCGGAGAGCGACCATCGGCTGTTATGGCGGTCCACACCATCACCATGGCCGGCGGCGCTTGAGATTTGGTGGCCAACCGAAGGTGCACATTTTCAGCTGACCTCTTTGGCAAGTAAACACGACCATTTTGTTTTTTTACAAACTGCAGGACAACGAATGTTTTCTCATCGGAGAAAACCAAATTTGGCAGTTCACCACTTTCGGCCAAACGAAGCAACTCTTTAGCTCTTATGAGTCTACTTTTCTTTCTGTTACGGTGTTAGTTCTTAGACTTTTTGGAATTTCAATGGCCTTTACCCCGAGCTCATTTTTCAGTATTTGCCGAATGGAATATTGCGATATGCTCAGCTCACGAGCCATTTTTCGGCAATTGCGACGCGGGTTTCGATCAAGTCGCTTCTTTACTTTTCGAACCATTTCTGATGATTTTTCTGTTTTCTTCCGTCCACTTCCTTGACGTCGGGCTATGCTACCAGTATCGCGGTAACGAGCGATGGTACGAGCGATGGTACGAGACACAAAAGATTTATTCACATTTAAATGCTGGAGTGCTCTAACGATAGCCACTTGTAGTTTTCCAGCCAAATATAAAGAAATCACACTATCACGCTTGAATTCCATCACGAATAACTTTTTTTCTAGAAAATTCTGACCAAAATGCTTTTGTACGCTTGTAAACAATATAATGAGCTGTCACTGGAATAATTTTAACAGGTGTCGAACGAGTGGCTTAAAAATGACATCAGTCTGAAGTTGGTTGCACTTTTTTCATCTCACCCTGTACATGTCGATGTCAGGCGGCACTTTAGGTTATCAAGTCAAGTACCATGAAATATAGCAACATAGTTGAGAATGAGGTGGCAAATGAATTAGCTCGAGGAGGCTCTGCACTGCTTGAAAAAATCGATCAGCGAGTAAGCTTAAAGAAGGCCGGTTGTAGGGTATCTAAGGCCATCTGGTCGGTCTGTTCTAAGATTTGTTAGGCATACTGACTGCCACTGCAATCTCAGATATGTAATCTCAAGATGTAATAACAGTGTTCCTGACTACTGTAGACTATTTGAAGATAAAGAAGAGATAGAGACAATAGACACAGGCTATTTGGCAGGTGGGAGATAGCAACCGTAATGTTCTTCTCAGACATACATCCCATCATCATTTCCAAATTTGTCAAAGCCATTTCCTGCCTAGGCAGGAATAACCCTGCTAACTACACTTCTCTCTATAAATCTCTTCTTCTTCTTCTTTTTCTTTTTCTCGCTTTTACATTTCTTCTATCCCCAAATTTCTTATTTTTCCTAGGATAAACACAATTGACCAAAGGTCTCAGAGTGAAGCAGTTGCCGAATTCACGTTGCTGCATCCTTAAAGCTAACCTAGAAAAGATGTATACGATTGAACACCTACCTTGCTGAGGTCCTAACAAGAGTAGCCTATGTCTCTTCTTAGGACCTCAGGTGGCAGGTGGAAGATAGAAATTCTAACTTTATTTCCAAACACAGATCCTATCATCATTTACAAGTTTGCCAAAAAAACATTTCCTGCTTGAACGTACCACTCTGCTAACTGTACTACTCTTTACAAACCCTTCCTTCTTATTCTCTTGTTCCTCCTATCTCCAAGAATTTTCTACTTCCTAAGATGACGACTAGCTGCGCATCTTTAAACCAAACCCCAACATAGTCTTTGTAAAATCATTATTTAAAATATCCACGAACATAACTAAGAAAGTCTTTGCTAAAGTAACCGTTAATAATTCTCGATTATATCCTAGTCCTGTAAAACATATTCTTTAAAGGTCTACGCTTATAGCTCTGATAGTCCTAAATTCTATATTTTCCAAATAATCAAAGATTAAAGCGTGACTTTATACATTTCTAACTTGCTAGCAAATTATTCAATACTATCAATTTCCATATTTTCAACACATCCTATATTTTTATGTGGAATCGATTGCAATTTCTGCAACAGCATCTAAAATGAAATGAAAAGCATGTCAAATTGTCTTGCATCTGATTGAAAACATGAAAAACTTGTCTGTCTTCCATAAACGAGTGGGAAATAAAATCCCTGCCAGCAACAAGTGGGGAAGTGTTATAAAGAAATTGCTTGTTGTTGTTGCTAATGTTTTAGCCTGATGTCATGCACACCAAATATTGCACAGTTACATAGCTTTGGAGATAATTTATCAGACCTCAACATTGAAATATTGATTAGCCTTATGCTAAAGACTGCAGGCCAATGTGCCTGCCATGACCACCGGTTAATGGCAACAATGCAAGCTATTATGTCACCAGCAAAGGAAAACACAAACTAAACTCCAGAACAAACCGGTTATTGGACCAAGGAACCACCGAGCGACCAACCACCTCCTCCACACACAACAAGTGAATTTGTAGTGCCTCTGCAAATACTAGAAAAAATGGAAAACAATTTTTTGTTGGTGTCAATAGCATCACCAAAAACCACTTACATACATCTGTTGTTGCATGCACTCGTTTGTGCAGTTCCTGTTTGGTCATGACCAAAGTGCGTACTGAAAAATGCAAGTTTGCCATTTGAATTGCTGTAGATATGTGTTGGGATAAGAAGTTTGGAAAGTGTGGGAAATTTTGTTTAAAAATTAATTTTTTCAAGGACCAGCAGAAATCGAGAGTTTAAAAAAAAAACATTTTTTTTTAATCAGCAGAAAGCTTTGATTTTTTAAAAACAATTTTTCAGAGACCAGCAGAAAGCGTGGATTTTTAAAAAATATTTTTTCAGAAACCAGCAGAAAGCGTGGATTTTTAAAAAATATTTTTTCAGAAACCAGCAGAAAGCGTGGATTTTTAAAAAATATTTTTTCAGAAACCAGCAGAAAGCGTGGATTTTTAAAAAATATTTTTTCAGAAACCCGCAGAAAGCGTGGATTTTTAAAAAATATTTTTTAGAAAACAGCAGAAAGCGTGGATTTTTAAAAAATATTTTTTCAGAAACCAGCAGAAAGCGTGGATTTTTAAAAAAATATTTTTTTCGGAAAACAGCAGAAAGCGTGGATTTTTAAAAAATATTTTTTCAGAAACCAGCAGAAAGCGTGGATTTTTAAAAAAATATTTTTTTTCAGAGATCAGCATTAAGAGTTTTTTTAATTATTTTTTAAGGGCCTGCAGAAAATGAGGAATTTTTAAAAATATTTTTTCAGAGATCAGCTTTAAGAGTTTTTTAAATTATTTTGTAAGGACCTGCAGAAAATTAGGCATTTTTAAAAATATTTTTTCAGAGATCAGCATTAAGAGTTTATTTTATTTTTTTTAAGTACCTGCAGAAAATGAGGTGTTTTTAAAAATATTTTTCATAGATCAGCATTAAGAGTTTTTTTTAATTATTTTTTAAGGACCTGCAGAAAATTAGGCATTTTTAAAAATATTTTTTCAGAGATCAGCATTAAGAGTTTTTTTTAATTATTTTTTAAGGACCTGCAGAAAATGAGGAATTTTTAAAAATATTTTTTCAGAGATCAGCTTTAAGAGTTTTTTAATTATTCTTTAAGGACCTGCAGAAAATTAGGCATTTTTAAAAATATTTTTTCAGAGATCAGCATTAAGAGTTTTTTTAATTATTTTTTAAGGACCTGCAGAAAATGAGGCATTTTTAAAAATATTTTTTCATAGATCAGCATTAAGAGTTTTTTTTAATTATTTTTTAAGGACCTGCAGAAAATGGGACATTTTTAAAAATATTTTTCCAGAGATCATCATTAAGAGTTTTTTAAATTATTTTTTAAGGACCTGACAAAATGGCCTGACCTGAAAATGGGACATTTTTAAAAATATTTTTTCAAAAATCAAAGAATTTTTCTCAATGGACCTCCAACGTTGAGTGTTAAGAAAAAATATTCAAGGATCAACAGATCACGGGTCGTGGATTTTTGAAGAATTATTTTTTCCGAGGACTAAGAGGGCCTACATTAACGTAGTCCTTACATCTTGTCACTTACCTTAAAATACCCCACCTCGTACATGTAAACAAAATTCCATGGCCTTTGTTGTTGAATTGTGAATTTTTGTGTCCATGTAATTTTTGGCAAGCTTTGTTGCCTCAATTTCCAATTGAAGCTGTTGATACATTTGAACAGGAGTTAAGCTTCATTTACGATTCAAACGTTTAAGTTTGCGGGTCAAAAAACGGTTTAAAATTCAAGTGCAAAAGAAGAGTATCTCTCAGTGAATAAACAAGCAATGGGTTTCAGGTAAGTTTAATCCTTAAAATTAAATTTAAATAAATACCAGAACTTTCTTTTTTTCTCTCCTTAGGGTTATGATTTTAATGGTAATGGGCCTGGGAGCCATGTATATGCTTCATCTATTGGCACAGGATTGGGATAAAATACGTCAACCAGTGCCCGCAGCTGTTTCACGTCTGCTAACAGGTGCCAGTCGAAATCTGGATAATTTCATTGTACGTGGTCGACGTGACCTAAGCGGCGCTGGATATCAACGTCACATACGACGTCTGCCAGAAAAAGGGGCAACGAGGAAAACAAATTCCACTGCAAATGTTGTCGACTGGAAACGCATACTGTCCCGCGATCCTTTTGAATGCCTCCAATCGTTGGTGTGCCAACTTTTATCCGGTGCCGAGAAAAACTCCGAAGAGGCAGTGTTAATATGTGATTTCCTGGAGGAGAATATAAGTGTGGCCCCAGCGAAAATTGGTAGAGCCTTTAGTCGTGGCTTGGCTTATCGTGGTCGCACCGAACGTTGTTACGATGATTATCCTTTTTGTTGGTACTCGGCCAAGACAATGTTGAAAATGTTGAAATGGTTAGCCGATACTGTGGATAATTATAAACCATAGATGTTTTTACTTTGGTTTGGCAGAAATGGGTTTTCATAAAACAAAAGTCATTGTAGAGCATAAGTATTTTAAGTATATTTTTTTTTAAATAAATAAGTTTTAGAATTAATGTTGTAGTCTTAATGCTCAAAATGTACAATTTTGAGAAAACATGTAGCAGAATACATCAAAAATTATAGTCCAGCTTTTGCATGTGATTCGAAAGTTAACTAGAAAGGAAACCGACAATTTTTGTAAGGTTTTAACATTTTGATTTATTTAATTTATATAATAACACTGTGCAACACAAAATTATACAGATTATGAAAGTAGAGCTAAGAAACGTAATCAAGTGTATCAGGGTTTTGAAAGCTTACATCGAAATTTAACCAAAATAAAGAGGGAAATTCCCCTCCCACCTCCCATCCTCTACACTTTGGGAAAATTTCGGATTAAGATTCCTCGGAATCCGTCCATTTTAGCTATATAGTGTCTCACTTTTGGCACGAATTATGGCCTTTGGATGGCCAATGAAACCGTCACACGCTGCCCGAATGTTGTTCTGCGGTATGGGCCAAACCATTCCCGTCGAAGCGCTTGCTTGAGGTGATCGACACTTTGGTATTTTTTAGTATCAACCTTGCTTTCCAAATATACCCTCCAGAATATTTTTGCGATAATATTCGGCATTTATTCTGATGCCAAGGTCGATCAAAACGAGCGGAGAGCGACAATCGGCTGTTATGACGGCCCACAGTTCTGATGGCCGGCGCTTTAGTTCTGGTGGCCAACCGAAGATGTACATTTTCAGCTGACCTCTTTGGTAAGTAAACACGATAATTTTGTTTGTTTACAAACTGCTGGACAACGAATGTTTTCTCATCGGACAAAGCCAAATTCGGCAGTTCACCACTTTCGGCCGAAAGCGAAGCAACTCTTTAGCTCTTTTGAGTCTATTTTCTTTCTGTTGCGGTGGTTCTTGCATCTTTTGTAAATTCAATGGCTTTACCCCGAGCTCATTTTTCAATATTTGCCGAATAGAATATTGCGATATGTTCAGCTCACAGGCCATGTTTCGGCCACTGCGACCATTCCTGTTGATGTTGCTGTTTTCTTCCGTCCACTTCGTTGACGTCGGGCTACGTTACCAGTATCACGGTAATGAGCGATGGTACGAGACACAAAAGATTTATTCACACTTAAATTTAAATTCGCGCTTGAATTACATCACGAATAACTTTTTTTGGAAAATTCTCACCAACAGTTGTCGGACGAGTGGTTTAGAAATGACAGCAGTCTGAAGATGGTTGCAGTTTTTTTCATCTCACCCTGTATATTATTCGATACGGCCAAAACGTGTCTCATCGAATTAACGGTTTTAGACCCTAGGTCTCTTTGGACCAAATCCGTTTCATGACTTTTGGAGTCGTTCTAGCGATGTCCGTCCGTCTGTCTATCTGACTGGCTGGTGCGCACGATAACTTTCGAAGGGAGTATCCGATTTGATCCAAACTTGGTACATAATAATATTATTTTCAAACTTAGATTGAGTTCGGAGATGGGCAATATCGGTCCACTCCTTCTGATACCTCCTCCACAAAATGTCAACATTTGCAAATGCACAGAAAAAGAAAGCATAAACTGATTTTGCTCCAACTTTGCAAATCCTAATATTTGCATCAGTGCTAGGTTAGGTGTGAAAATGGACAATATCGGTCAACCCCATCAAGTACCTTCCCCACAAAAGGGTCAACATTTCGAATAATCTTAACTCTAATAAAATTTGATGTCAGTGTCCGATTGTCTTCAAATCACACACTTCACAATATTTTTAGTAACCCAAGGTCTGGCGTGGAAATGGAATATATCAGTTCACTTCTTCTGGTACCTCCTCCATAAAGGGTTCACATTTTGAACACCCATGAAGTTCATAAAATGCAAAATTAACATCAGATTCCATTCAGACTACTTCTATAAACACATGACCTGTTATAAAGATGGTAGGTTTCGGACCATTTCTTCTGGTACCTCAGGATTCTTTTGAGCCACCTTGTATTTCGACTTTAGAAGTCTTCAAGGATTTATATGACAAATAAGTAGTAGATTTTTATGACAAATAAATTTGTACAGCAGCCACATTTGTTAACTCGCTTGAGGATTAATATACCAAAATATTCCTCGTATTTTTCTCTGCAATATCGCCGAAGACACTATGTACCTAAAATGGGCAGATTTCGAGGATTCTTATTCCGGAAAATTTCAAACGTGTGGAAGAATGGGGAACTTTCCCCTTTCTATTTTGATTACTTTTCGAAGTAAATTTTGAAAATGCCGATACACAGGACTTTCTTTGTTAGCACTCCTCTCCTTTCCTAATCTGCTGAATTTTCCCCGTAATTATTAAAAAAAAGAATTTTGCCACACATTGGTATGATCATGGATTCTATGTTTTCACTTCCAGTTGACTTTCTAATCGTCATAAAGAAATAGGCCCTATATTCCGTTGGTGTGGGTCCAAAATAAGTCAAATACTGGTTCAAAGGGAATCCTAATAACCTAATGGTTTATTTTGGTTACATACACAATACAGCTATCTCCAGCAATTGATCGGTATTTCGACAAGACAACTATCAACTGCCTTGGAAAAAAATCTGAATTTTCATTACAATGAAATTGGATTGCTTTATTTCTCACACCTCCTCCGAAATTCCATTCTTTTTTTTTTTGGTGAAATCAAAAACTTATTACTTTACAAAAAATGTATTTATTTATTTGTTTTTTTTCTTGTTTTGTTTTACAAGTCTATGTTTTTTTATATATATAAATCTCAGTTTATGTTGGTTTTAAATCAAACACTTAAAGCATTGATACATCATTATTATTATTATTTTGATTGATCATCGATTATTTGTTTGTATTCTTTTTTATAAATTAATCAAGATTATTAGAGATTATAAATGGATAGCGAAATATGAGAGAGAGAAGTATATGATAACTGTAATAGAAAATTGGATATTTGTAGGAGCAAAAGGAGGAGCATGCATGCATATTGTAGAAAATTAATAAAAAACTGTAAAATTGATAGTTAAATATTTGCAAGAAGGGATATTTAAAGGAGACAAACGAAGTGGCTTCCATTAACTTTCCTTTATCTCCTTCAAAAAATATCCTTCTATCTCACAAATATGATATGTTGTTTTTTAGTAGGGGTGGTTAGTAATTAATAAAACAATATAAAATATTTAAAAACCCTTAGTTATTTCTTTTTCTCATTTTCTTCATTGCTACGCTCAAACATTTTTATATATTATATTTCTCTAGTATTGACTATTTCTTTTCTTTGTTTTGAATCGATATATATAATATTATTTAGAATTGTTTACTGTTTATTTTGGATTACAAGTCTCACTCTCAAATGCATATAGTTTAGGTAAATATTTCTGTTTTTTTTTATGAAAAAATAGGAAGTAAATGAGTTAATATTATTTTGTTATTTTGAAATCATAAATCAAATTAAACTATTTTATTATGAGACATGGATTTATGTATGTGGCAGACCTTTATATAAAAACATTTGAAACTTTTCCATTGTACCCTTTTGTTATTTAATCCACAAGGATAAACTTTGAGAAAGACTTAAAAGATCGAGAATTTGAGAGCCAAAAATTTTACGGAGGTTAACAACCCCACATTATGGAAAAATCTTGAAACTAGTCTTAAGATGCTTCGTGGATAATAACCTAATTCCACAGGCACGGGGACTAATCTCCATTGCAAATATGACCGGTTTGTTTTTTGGGAGTATGACCGTTTGCTTACCAAAAAATATTAAAAACTTGTAAACTTGGGTTCGCCAGTAGCTTATTGATCGCTGAAATTCCTTTTTATCTCCCAACATCTTGGTTTTGGCGCTTTTCCTGCTTTGAGAATGTGGGCTTATAGGTGGTTATCGACGATTTGGTATTGGAACTGTTCAGACCTACTTCCTAACCCTTGACTAGAGGTCAAGGCTTGGGCTATCTTAATATCCATGTCATCAACTTCGTCAGACACGGGCTATTCCCAGAAATCTACTGGGACTCAGAATTAAAGGTTCTATAAGCACAATAATTTTATAATAATAAAATACAGGGTGAGATGAAAAAAATTCAACCAACTTCAGACTGCTGAATTTCTAAGCCACTCGTCCGACAACTGTTAAAATTATTCCACTGACAGCTCATTAAGTTAGTTGTGATGGAATTCAAGCGTGATAGTGGGATTTCTTTATACTAGGCTGGAAAACCACAAGTGGCTATCGTTAGAGCACTCCAAAATATAAATGTGAATAAATCTTTTGTGTCTCGTACCATCGCTCGTAAAAGTGATACTGGTAGCGTAGAGCGACGTCAAGCAAGTGTACGGAAAAAAACAGCAGCATCATCAGAAATGGTTCGAAAAGTTAAGAAGCGACTTGATCGAAACCCGTGTCGCAGTGGCCGAAAAATGCCTCGTGAATTGAACATATCGCAATATTCCATTCGGCAAATATTGAAAAATGAGCTCGGGGTAAAGCCATTGAAATTCCAAAAATTTGCAAGAACTTACACCTCAACAGAAAGAAAGTAGTCTCCAAAGAGCTAAAGACTTTCTTCGCTTGGTCGAAAGTGGTCGAACTGCCGAATTTGGTTTTCTCCAATGAGAAAACAATCGATGTCCAGCAGAGGTCAGCTGAAAATGTGCACCTTCGGTTGGCCACGAGGACTCAAGCGCCGACCATGGTGATGGTCGCTCTCCGCCCGTATTAATCGACCGTGGCATCAGAATAAATGTCGAATGTTATCACGAAAATATTCTGGATGGTGTTTTAAAGCCTTGGACACGCAAACATTTTGGCCGCAGACCTTGGACATTCCAACAGGACTCAGCACCATCGCACTCAGCACGCGCAATCCAAGAATGGTTACAAAATGAGGTTTCTGGCTTCATTCGCAGCACACAATGGCCACCAAAATCTCCGGATACCAATCCGTTGGACTACTGTGTCTGAAGTATTTTGGAAAACAAGGTTGACACTAAAAAATACCAAAGTGTCGATCACCTCAAGCAAGCGCTTTACCGGGAATGGCCCAACATACCGCAGAGCAACATTCGGGCAGCGTGTGACGGTTTTATTGGCCGTTTGAAGGCTATAATTCGTGCCAAAGGTGACCAATTCGAACAAATCTAGACTTATTCTAAAATTTAATGCTATTTCCGACATTTTTTGCTTTCATTCAACAATATTTTAAAAACATGTTAAAATTATGGCGTTTGACTTTGTTGCAGTTTTTTTATCTCACCCTGTACCACACTTTGGTAATATCTTAAAACTCGTCTTAAATCTTCAAGATGCTTACTTGCAGATGTTTCCGATTCCATTGTAAGTCGAACTTTCTTAAAACTATTTATAAACTCGGAAAAATTTCAAAATCTGCCAAAGTAATCTTTATAGTTTAAAAATAGTTTCATGTAAATTACAAAATTATATTAATGCAACCAGTTAAAAAAAAGGTTTAATATACAATTTCATATTTTCTTCTTAATAATTTCATTTGAAGTTAACAATTAAAGCATATTTACTGTTTATTTATTTAGTTTTGTTGGTTTTTAAAGTTCCTCAGTTCTAACATTTAACAATTGCATATAATTTGATTCGTTTTTTAAATAACTATTGACGTTTTTATAATTGTAATTGTTTAATTACTCAAACTCTTTCGCTTTTACTTAAACTTTATTACCACTACGTTTTCAATAATGCATTGGTCCATTTTTGAAATGATAAGAGAACAAAAATTAAAAAAAGAAAAAAATTGGAAAATTTATAATTATTTTATATTTGTTTCACATGTATCAATATTCATATGATCTAGAAATTTTGAAAAAAAAAAAAAAAAACGGTAATGCTCTCTACTACTTAAGAATGAGGGAGAAAGAATATGGATTTTGAAACTTAGATCTGAATATTCACTATTCTTGATGCAGCAGATCTTTGAGCATATCAAAAAAAAAAAAACATTCTGTTTTCGAATTGATGGGAATCAATTTCAAATGAACTAGACAAGTAAAAGTAATGAGAGAAACAAAAACGGTAGTAGATCTTTTCTATGAAGAAAACTTAGGGTCTGTTTCTGTTTGACCATTCCAAAGTGAATGCGGAATATGAACGCCAATTTCATGTTTTGAAATAGAATAAGGGAGATTTGCTTCTCTCAGTCAAACTCTGGAAAGCTCAATAAGCTGGACCTATTTTACCCTCCAATGAAAACTTGTCAAATTTCTGAAATATGGGCTATACCTATATTGTATATTTTTTGAAGGGATATAACCTATCCACAATGTATCCCAAGTATTAAATGAGGGCTGATATGGTTAGCAATTAGTGCCGACTGCTTAAAATACCTCATATCAGGAGGTAACGTTGTATTGGGACTATAGAACTTGACTTATGGTCAAATTTCACAGATATTGGGGCTTTACCTACATTGTATATTTTTTGAAGGGAGATAACCGATCCTCGATGTATCCGAAGTTTTAAATAAGGGCCGTTATCATTAGAACTCCTTAAAATTTAGACTGCTTAAAATTTCTCATATTAGGAGGTAAAGTTGTGTAGGGGATATAGAACTTGACTTATGGTCAAATTGGTGCCGACTCCTTAAAATCAGGCTATAGCAAGAAGTGGACCTACAAAAAAAAATTGATTTTATGCTGATTTGGTGGGAAATTGTGGTTAAACCCTTTAATTACGGAAAATCAGAAGGTACCGTTGTTGTGGGTAAATGACAAAACGTAAGCTGAGAACTTGAAATACTCAATTATAGTGGCTTGTTTCGAAATTGTGGTCGAAACTCCAAATACTGAAAATAAGGAGGAAAATGGCAGTTATACCAAAAAGTGGATTCAAATTGAATATTTTTTCGAAGAGTATTTATAGCCACGGAAAACCCGAAAGTTCGAATTACAATCGTTAGAACTTGGGACTGAAATTTTCAAAATATTGAAAGTCAGGAGGTACTCTTTTTTGAAAGCCTATAGAAAAGTCAGCTGATTTGATTGGAAATTATTCTGGATACTAACCGGCGGAAGTTGTCCACTCTGACACCGCTACTTCGTTAAAACTGACTGATGACCTGACATCTTTTCCATTGTTCGAAACGTTGCCTACCATTTAACATAACAACTGAAATTGTATAGGCAAATTTCTGTTTATTCTTCCCGAACGACTCCGAGCTAAGCGAGCTTTCTTGGAAAAAATCCTACTTTCTACCCGTATTCGAATAACTCGGTTGCATGTCAGTTATTATATGACTTAGCACCTGGTTATTTGCATAGAGAAGTCGAGCGAGCCATTAAAGGCTACCCCAAGAAACTTCTTGAACTTGATAAATGAATACGTCGTCAGGATTGATTTCGGCGCCAGAACAATTTCGGCCATTTTATACCCTCCAACATAGTATGGAGGGTATATTAAATTTGTCATTCCGTTAGTAACACCTCGAAATATACATTTTGGACCGTACAAAGTATATAAATTCTTGAACAGCATAAAGTTCTATGTCGATTTAGCGATGTCCGTTCGTCTGTCCATCTGTGTTAATCACTTTAGCTTCCGAACGGAATGAAATGTACTTCATTCCGTTATTTTTTTATTAAATTTTATTAAATATATATTATGTCTGCAGGACTTTTGGTATTGAAAACGGACCATGTAGTTCCACGTTTTGGTATAGCCCCAATATAACGGTACCTCCAGATATTCGGTATTTTGATGATTTAAGCGACATTATTCAACGGAATTGTTTCAAATTAGGCATTTGAAGTTCGAAATGGATACAACAGCCTAAGGCAGAAAATTGTTTGTGTAGGTCCACGTCTTCGTATAGCCGCACACATATAACGGTACCTCCCGATATTCGTCACTTTGTTGATTTTAACGATATTAGTCACTGGAATTGTTTCAAATTTGGTATTTGATGTCCGTAATGAATGCTAAAAAGTTATCTATGCAGGTCCATGTCGTCGTATAGACACTAATATAACAGCTATATTCGGTATTTTTAAAATGTTCACAGAATTTCTAACGGATTTAGTTGTTTTGGAGAATTTGGCAACTCGTTCCAAATGGTAGAAGGTATTTAAAGTTCGGCCGGCCGAACGTACATATTCTTTTTACTTGTTGTAAACTGCGGATTATAGACGATCAGGTGGTCGGTCTCTCCTATGACATGTTGATATATGGGCTATGAACCATTATTTGTCGATTCGCGCAATTATCTCTTTCTCGCCATCCAAGAAAACTATAAGCTCTCTAGAGCCAGTTCAAACTTCAGAACTGCATCAAAAAAAATTAAAAAAATCCAATGCTGTTTTTTTCCAATATTGATTTATACATTTAAAAAATTTGTGATTCTTTTTGAAATATATTTTCCTTTATTGCACACTATAAATGTTTGTTGTTGTTATTGTTCTTGGTCACTTGAGTTGCCAAATGATTGTTGTTTAACACAAAAACAAAAGCATTTGTTTGCCGGGAGTTGTTCTTTTCTTTTAAATAAGCAATAAAATAATGATATTTAATGAAACACAAAAAATAAGAGAAAAATATGTTTAAAATAATAATATTAATAAAAATAAAAAATATGTATATATGTATGTAATGGAGGGGGGAACTTATAAAAATATACACCTACATATATTCAATACAATATGTATTTCATTTACTTTTGTTTTCATTTTCTCACTATATGAAAGAAAAACATCATCATCATCATCATTTAGGGGGGTTATTGAGACGTTTTCTTTTTCGTTTTTCTACTGACGCTACAAAACTTTTTGTTTAAAAAAAAATTCCCTAATATGTTTGTTGTTTTCATTTGTTTTGTTTTTTTTTTACTAAAGTTATTTTTTAGTAATGTATGTATTTAGTTTATGATATTTCGTTTAATTTAATTTACTTTACTTTCTTTTTTGTTTTCCTAGTGGGAGTTTTTCTATTTCTTGTAACAAAAATGTTGTAGGTATTTATAGATTTACAAAATGGTTGTTTGTTTGTTTTTGTTATTATTAATTAATATGCATTTGTATTTTAAAACAGTACAAAAAAGTTATTAATTATGCAACGAATTTGACATATGTATGCATGTATGTTTTGTAAGTTTTGATCATATCATTTTCATTTAAGTATGTTTTTTCCATTTTTATTTGATTTTTTCTTTTGTGTATAATGCTGCATTGAGAATTTGTTTGAAAACCCTAAAAAGAAACAAAACAATTCAAATTCTTCTCCTTCTTCTTCTGCTCCTTTCAATGTTTCGTATTATAACTTAAACTGGGCAAATGTGTGGCACAACAACAGGCCACCACATACAAAATGCCAAAGAAGAAATTCAGCTTTGCCGTCTGCCTGGGCACATTATTCATTGTCTGTTCATTGCGGAACTGTTTTTCAATGCGAAACGCCTGCGGCACAGTTATCAAAGGCAACAAAAACCATACAGAATATTTCATAGCGTAAACGACAAAAACGCTATACGGTGTAAACAGCAGCAAGGCGTAGAGCACATGGGATGCTGTACGTCCTATTAATATGGCCAAGGTGACAATGCCAGCTTTACGATCATTTTCCACATCACGTGTATTGTTACTGTGCAAAATCGCCTCAGTGTTTAATGCTAATGGTATGGCATAATAGATAGTGGTCCAATCCACATGACCCGTTTGTGACATGAATGCAAACAGCACTGATATGGGTCCAAACCATATCAGTATTACTAAATCGCCCAGAGCGATATATTTGAAACCAATACCTCCGGTGTATAGGAAACTCGACGAAAGTCCACCAAAGTATATGAGGGCCAAGTGTTCCATTTTAGCTGGACTCAATACTGCCAAACAAATGAAGCCAACGCAACCAGCCATATACAGAATAGCACCAAGTGAAACAACCTGGAAAGAGATAAGAAAGGCATTAAAATTTTTAACTTTTTCAGTTGCAAATATTTTTCACATAGTCTTGACCAACATCCTAAATAGAATAGAAAAAGGTTATTTTATGTTTCCCTTAGATAAATGTTCGCAGAGGGTATATATAATTTATGTCACTATGGACAAAATCATCCAATATAAATTGGTCATTCCGTTCGAAATATTTGTCGAAGACCCCATAAAGTATATATATTTAAGATTATTGGTATTTTATTTAGGATATCGAATCTGAATGAAAATTGCTGAAGTTTCAAGGACCTCATAACAGAAAGTCTTAATTTTGGATATATTTATAATCTCCTAGCAAAAAATACTAATTTTTTTTTACAAAATCTTCTGGGACAAAAGTCGTGGATTTCTTAACTAAATTGTTTTAGTATATCCTGACCAAAATGCTACAATCTGCACACAATTTATTTTTTTAAAAAATTTTTTTGAAGGGCGTCCTGAATTAAATAGTTAGGAATTAAAAACAAAACAACAACAAAATCCTCAAAATATTGAATATTGGTGTTACCGTTATAGGGGAGCTATACAAATACGTGGATATTTACGGGAATATTTCTGTCATAGAAAATAGTACCCTTGGTAACTCCAAATTTGAAATAATTCCAGTAAAAAATGTGGCTAAAATCATCAAAATAGCGAATATGGAGCATTGCGTTGTAGTGGATGCGGGCTATACGAAAATACTGTATAGGTAAATGTCTTTCTGAACTCCAAATACCAAAAATTTCCATTCCAAGATATTTTGGAAATTCAAGGAAGAACTGTTATTAGCTTATAAATGCTTTTGAATTAAGTATTTAGTCTTTGTATATTTATACAAACATTTGACAATTTCATTCTCAGATTATTTTTGGCTTAAATCATAAAGTATTCTTTCAAACCCTCTCATCAAAATATTTGCTACAAAACTCTTCTCTTCCGTCTACTGAAATATTTAAAGATATTGCATTATTGTAATTATTATTTCTGAATTCCAACATCTGCGTTGACTAAAAATATAGCCCAAGAAATGTATAATTTAATAATTAAATTAATAATCAAAAATCTACCGAGAAATTCCATATAAATTCCTATCAGAGTAATATTTGAAAGACATTTTATCAAACGACTTCTTGTTTAAAATTATAAAACCCTTTATAAAACCCTTTAACACCCTCTCCAAACTTGATTACATCAAACTCATATCTTTTCATATCACCCACTGGAATCGTTTTTTCGCAAAACATAGTTTTAGAATAGTTTTTCGATACATCCTTTTTTGTATTCGTTTGAAATTAACCTCAGAATAATTTTTTTATATTTTTAAGTTTTAGAATAATTTTTCGTTATAACCTCAAAATATTTGCACAAAACCATTTTCCAAAATAGGTACATATGCAATTTTTTCACTTTCAAGAGCATACGTGATTATTGATATATACAATGGAATAATTATTTTCCAATTGAAACAATACAATCCAAACATACAAGGCAAAAAAATTCCTGCTAAAAATACCTGTAATATACACACATTTATATACAAACTATACAAAAATACACAAACACACACACACTACAAATTACCTCATCTTTTGTTAAAATGTGATCCACTAATGTACGATCATCAGCCTTTTGTTTATCAATTCCTTTGATGAAATCAAAATAAGTATTGACCACATTGCCGGCACAGTGGACAGTGACTACGGTGAAAATCGTTAGGAAGAGGGTGATGAAGGAGAAATCGGCGGACCATTGTGAACGAAAGGCCAACGCTGAACCCAAAAGGGTAGGCACCAAACTGGCCGACAGCGACCAGGGCCGTAAGGCTAGCAAATAGGTTTTCAATTTCATAAAAGTGCCGGTGGTTGAGAGATTTGCTGATGTCGAGAGATTTGTGGTACTGGATTTGTCATGATGATTTGCATGGTTGTGATGACTGGTGGATATTTTGCCATTTGCAGTTGTCGTGGCCTCCGCCGTTTCGGTTGGCGGTGAACCATTATTTTGCGTTGTTATGGCTGCCGCACGTTTCTGTAGTAGACTTTCGGTTAGCGATTCCTGTTCCATTGGAGATTTGAAGATTTTGTTTTCCTTAGCTGCTGGAGAAAAAGGAAATTGGAATAAATGTATTTGAATTGTATATGAATTGCTGCTGGCTTACCTCTTGTTGATTAGTGGCCCACTCAATTCGTACTAATTGCCTTGCCTTCCGAAATGTTTGTTTACATATATCCAAATGTATATTGGTTCCTTTGCTCTTGCTCTTCAGATATGTATCTCTTTTTTTCAGCCAAAACAATATTATTTAAATTATTCGATTGAAATCTGTATAGTAGTATTTTGTGTTGATTTGAGTATTGTTTACTTTATAATGAAATATGCTGATGAATGCCACACGCGCCACACAACACAGCAGCCTCTCTGTAGGTATTTTGTGTTGTTTCAATCAGTCGGTCAGTCGTTTGTTTGGTGGCAGCAGCAGCCTGTGTACCTTTTCCCTGTCCCCTTTCTTGATCTTTCTGAACAAAATTCACTTTTTCCCCAAAAGAGAATATTAATTGTTTGCTTCCGTTTTGTTGCCTCTTTTCAATATTCTTTGAACGCCAACACCATATTGTTCAACATTACAGTGTCACTTCCAGCAGCAGTGGCAGCTTCTTTCTTCTGTAAGACGTGCCTCCTTTCCTTTTTGTTCTACTTTGACGTGTTGTGTTGTTGTTGTTTGCACAGCAGCTCATATGCAGGAGTCGTTGTGTTGTAACTGGTTTCCACTACTTCAAGTTGTACTTTTGTTTGCATTGAGCCAATTTCTTTCCTTTTCACTGTTTATTTTCATTAATATTCTTTTGTGTGCTTCTACTACATTTGAATCTTGTGTGTTTTTTTTTGTTAAATATTGAAGAGTTTCCCCACAGAAATTTTCACTTATTTCGATGTTGCGGCTACTCTCTCCGGGTCCCTCTCATTTGTAACGTCACATCAAATGTCATTTGCTGCTGCCAACTGGTGAGAGCAGATGCATGTGGTGGGCTCACATGATGTGATTTGTTGGCATACTTCAATAACGGTGTGCGACAAACGTCAAAATGAGCTGTAAGGGTATGGAAATAAAGGAATGAAGAAAATTATGATAATTTAAAGGCGAATTTAATGAAAAATAATTAAAAAAGTTAAAAAAATCATTGGAAAAGACCCAAATGCAAGTGAGAAGTAGATATGATTTTGTTTTATCTGTATAAAAGACACATTAATGTATGAAACATTTTTATAGAAGTCAATGGTAAAACATATTGTACAGTGTGGACGACCATTTAAGCAATCTCGTTTAGTGGAGACGTAACGTGGCACATTTCAGTTACTTAAGTGTAAAGCTGTTTTATTTTTTTTGACAACAAGGAAAATCACTGATAAATTAATTAATAGGTGCAAAGTTTGCACAAAATTTGATGACCCATTCCTGTTCTATGGAGACAATTATCTTCTGTGACAATTTTGATCTTTTGTGGGGGAGATAACAGAAGGAGTGGCCCGATATTAACCATCTCCGAATTCGGTCTAAGTTTGATAATAATACTGTGATGTACCGATTTCGGACTAAAACGGATACTCCTTTCGAGAGTATGCATAATCAAGACAGACGAACGAACACCCCTAGATCGACTCCAAACGTCTTGGAACGGATTTGTTCCAAAGACCGTTTCTTCGATGAGGCATAAAAATTCAGTTCAAAAAATATTTAAAAAAAAAAAAAAAATCAATGTTTATCTGTTGGTCCTTGAAATAATGTTTTTTAATTGCCTCCTTTTGACCATCGTGCCATCCGTAAGGTTAATATTGGCTAAAGGCTTTCCAATTAGTGCCATACCCCCGGTGGCCGCTGACCATAATTGTGTTTATCTCTGGCGCACGAGGAGGGCACAAGGCCAAATTGCGATTAGTACGGGGTCAAAATGTAAAACAAAGTACTTGATATTCATTATGGGATAATGCACATCATGGAGGCCAGCCAAGCTGGAGGCATTAGGGTGGATCGTCATAAAATCAATATTTCGATTTGAAATCAATAAAAAATTTAAATAAATCCTGGAACAAATACGCCAATGAGGTCCATTTTATGCTTCCCTTTGAAACCCTCGCGGCCATTTACATATTTACTGACACCCTCTCAACCCCAATATCCAGCTGGTTGGCACTTCAGTGTGTAATTTCCATGTTTTCACATACAAACGCGCGCACACACACACCTGAGAATACAAATGTATTCATTTGCAATCGATGCTTTTTTTCCGTTAATGTTTGGCACTCTGTGACATCCAATTCCAATTTTTTTTTAATTTTTTTGGCAAAGAGGACATCACGTCATCCATCTACACTTGGTTGGCTCGCTGGCGGGGGTTGGATGGCTCAATGCTTGGCTGACTTTCCAATGAAGCCATAAAAACTGCAGTGATTTTTATCGTTTGCCTGCAGTTTTCCGCTCGCTCCTCCCCCCCCAATTTTTCATCATCGAGGTCAAATGACCATTAAATATGTGAGCCGATGGGAAAAAGAGGAGGTGAAGTCAATATGTATTTCGAACAAAAAATGTAACTGGGATGTTCTCTACAAATTGATTACAAAGAACAGCGTTAAATATTTATTCAAAGTTTTTTTTTTTTATTTTAAATAAGGCTGACCGGTCGGTCATGCTCTTCGTAAGTGATTCTTTGACTATTTAACCGCTTGTGGTTATGGGTAGAAAAAAAGGCATTAACCATGGATTCGGTATGTGTAATTAATGTGGTTAATCAGAAACGAAAGGACGAAGGGGATATGCCGTAATGCTGATTAAATAAAGCATGCAAATTCAATAAGAAGGGGAGGGAAATTGATGAAAAAAATATGGAGGTGGAGAGGACTAGAGGGTTGGTAAAATTTGATTTCAAGGACCAACAGACAAAATTGGATTTTTAGGAATTTTTTTTTAAAGAGTCTTTCAATAATTTTTTTCAAGGATCTCGAATTTTTTAAGGCTATTTTTCAAGGACCTGTAAATAATTCAGTGTGGAAAATATTTTTCAAGGTCTATTATGGCAGTTTTCAACGTGGGTTTTTTAAGAATATTTATCAAGGACCTTTAAGAAATATTGCGTGGATTTTTAAGAATAATTTTCAAGGGCCTTCAAGGCATTAAATGTGGATTTTTTAAAGAATATTTCTTATGGATCTTTAATGAATTCAACTTCAATTTTTAAGAATATTTTTCAAGGACCTTCAAGGAATTTAGCGTAGATATTTAAGAAGATTTTTCAAGGACCCCCAAGATATTAAGCAAGGAATTCTTTAAAAATATGTTTGAATGTATTAAATGTGGATATTTAAAAAAAATTTTCAAGGGTTCTTAAATCATTAAATATGTTTCTTCAAGTACTCTCAAGGCATGTGTATTTTTCAAGGACCTTCAAGTCTTTAAATTTTGATTTTTCAAGAATCGAGGCATTTAATGTAGTTTTTTGAAGGACCTTCAAGGAATTCAGCCTTGATTTTTAAGAATATTTTCTTAAAAACTTTCAAGGAAATAATTGTGGATTTTTTAAGAATGTTTTTCTGGACCTTCAAGGTGTTAAATTTGGATTTTTCAAGGACCTGCAGATCATTAAATGTGGATTTTTTAAGAATATTTTTTCAAGGACCTTCAAGGCATTAAATGTTAATTTTTAAGAATATTTTTTCTGGAACCTTCAAGGCACTAAAATTGAATTTTCAAGGACCATCAGAGCATTAAAATTGGATATTTTAAGAATTTTCAAGGTTCTTCAAGGAATTGATCATAGATTTTTTATGAATATTTTTCCAAGGGCCATCAAGGCATTCAATGTGGATTTTTTAAATAATATTTTTTAAAGACCTTCAGAGCATTAAATGCAGATTTTAAGAATATTTTTTAAGGACCTTCAAGACATTGAACGTGGATTTTCAAGAACTTTAAGGCATTTAATATAGATTTTTAAAAAGTTTTTTTTTTCAAAGACCTTCAGGTACTAAATGTGGTTTTTTAAGGATAATTTTTCAAGGACCTTCAGGGCACTAAATTTGGAGTTTTTAAGAATATTATATCCAAGGACCTTCAAGGCATTAAATTTGAATTATCCATTACCTTCAGGACACTAAATGTAGTGTTTTTCCGAATATTTAAAGCTGAAATATTTTCTTAAAATCCTTGATATGTTTTTCTAAAAAAATACACGTTTGTTGGTTGGTTGGTCCTTAAAAAACACGTTTGTCGAGCTTTTCGTCCTTTGAAATTATTCCAAAAACCTCACGTTTGTTGGTCTTTGAGAAATATCCATTCTCGTTTTTGGGTTCCTGTGGAAACATCCTTCAAAATACTTGTTTGTTTTTTCCTTGTAAAAATATCCTTTAAAAATTGAAGTTTGTTGGTCCTTGAGAAAATATGTTTAAAACATTTACTTTTTTGGTTTGTTGATCCTTTTGAAAATATCCTTCAAAAATCCCCGTTTGTTGGTCTATTTGTCCTTGTAAAAATATGCTTCAAAAATCCAAGTTTGTTTGTCTGTTGATTCTTGAGAAAATATCCATTAAAATCCTCGTTAAATGGTATGTTGGCCCTTGTGAAAATATCCTTAAAAGTAACCACATTTGTTGGCCTGTTTTATGGAAATATCCTTCAAAAATCCAAATTTGTTGGTCATTTTGTCCTTGTAAAAAATATCCTTAAAAATCAACTATTGTTTTCCTGTTATTCCTTGTGAAAATATCCTTAACAAATCCACGTTAGTTCGTCCTTGAGAAAATATCCTTAAAAATACACTTTTGGTGGACTGTAGGTCCTTTTAAAAATATTCCTTAAATATCTTTGTTTTGGTCTGTTATTCCTCGTGAAAATATCCTTAAAATTCCTCGTTTATTGGTCTGTTCGTCCTTGTGAAAATACCCCCAAAAACCCATTTTAGTTGTTTTGCTAGTCCTAGAGAAAAATATATTTAAAAATTCGAATTTTTGGTTCTTGAGAAAATTTCTTAAAATGATCCACGTATGTTGGTCTGCTGGTCCTTGGGAAAATATCTTTCGAAAATTCACATTAGTTGGTGTTTTGAACCTAGTGAAAATATCCTATAAATCCACTTTTGTTGGTCTATTGGTCTTTGTAAAAATATGCTTCGAAAATCCACGTTTGTTGATATGTAGGTCCATCTGAAAATATCCCTGAAAATGGGTGATTGTTGGTTTTTAGGTCTTTGTGAAAATATCCTTTAATAATCCACGCTTGTTGATCCATATGAAAATATCCTTAAAAATCCGCATTTGTTAGTCCATAGGTCCCTATAGATTTATAATTAAAAATCTTTAGGTTCCTATAGAAATATCCTCAAAAATTCTTGCAAAAATATCCTTAAAAATCCACGTTTGATGGTCTGTATGTCCTTGTAAAAATAACCTTAAAAACAGCCACGTTTTTGGGTCAGTTAGTCCCTGCGAGAATATCCATAAAAAGCTCGTTTGTTTGTATGTTCTTTATCTTTAAAAATCAAAGTTTTTTGGCCCATAGGTCCCTAAATATCCATAAAAATCAACGTTAGTTGGTCTGTATTTCATTATGAAAATATCCGTTAAAAATCTACGTTTTTGGTCTGTTTATCCTGGAGAAAATATCCCAAAAAATCCACGTTTGTTTGTCCTTGTGTGAAAATATCCTTAAAATGCACGTTTTTTGGTCTGTTAGTCCATGAATAGATATTCTTAAAAATCCACGGTTGCTCTTCTGTTGGTCCTTGAGTAAATATCCATTAAAAATCCACGATTGTAGGTTTGTTAGCCCTTTTGAAAAATATTCTTATAAATCTTTAAGTCCTTGTGACAATAACCTTGAAAAATCCAAATTTGTTGGTCTGTTGCTCCTTGAAAAAATATCCTTAAAAATCCATGATTTTGGTGTGTTAGTATTTGTAAAAATATCCTTTAAAAATCCACGTTTTGTGGAATGC